TAAAGATGTCTTTGGAATTGGTTATACCACTTGTAATTTTAATGGCGGTATTATAATCATAGCCTTTAAGTTTAGCCTTTAAAGTTAACAACTACGCAGAAGACCTTTAGTGACAAAATTACCAATGACGAAATTATTTAATAACTAGCGACCCGCCCCGGCTTCGTATGGGTAGGATCTATTAATGTGGCGGTATTTAGATTTAAGGTAATCAAACGCCATTTTAAAAAAAAATACTCCAAGTCTTTCAGATTAAATATAGCCGAGATTACTCCTGGTATTGCTTTCTATCTGTTCGTGAAGTTTCATTACAATTAATTCAGCCATTCCGAAGATTAACACGAACAGACAGACAGACGAAAATTTTAAATTACAATATGGTTATTTGCCCTTAGCTCGACAAAAGTCAGTTATTTCAATATTACAGACAGACGCTGCAATTTTATTTATATATATAGAAGATATTTTTTTTATATATATAGACTAATTTTAACCAAACGATCAAACGCAATAATTTAATGCCGTCTCCGACAAGCAAGACAAATGGCGTTTATGGTTCACACGTTTGATGCAGGAGTGTTAACTTTTGTGGTATACAGTTGTTATGTCGTAAATCATTAAGCAATTCCTTTTAATAATATGAAGAAAATTAATGAACTAGTTTATTTATTTACTCTATTTGTACTTTTTTTTTAATAAATAATTTGAAATTTAAAATTTTGTACAACCGACTTCAATATAAATTATTAAGAATAACTCAAAAACCAGTCAGACCTTGATCAAATTTAAATGGGACCACACGAGAAGCACCAGCTTTCAAATAAAAAAAGAATCATCGATATCGGTTTAAGCAGTAAAAAGTTATGAGGTAACACACATAAAAAAGAAAAAACCATACAGTCGCATTGAGTACCGGCTCCTTTTTGAAGTCGGTAGAAAAGGGAGCAAACGAGCATGCAGCTCACCTAATAGTAAGTGGATACCACTACCCTCAACTGTGACACCAGGAGAATAGGAGGTCGTCTTTTAAAAATGAGTAGGCTTTTTTAAAAGTGAGTAGGCTCTTTCCTTATAGGTCCCTTAAGTCGTAATGGTACGGATAAATTGCTGGTGGTCACTAATGCCACAAAGAATTCGTGCGAGGAAGACAGCTCAACCATGCTACATCTGTATTATAATTGTAGCAGGAATGGGTTGGCTTGACCGGGTAAGAAACACGCTCTCACAGAATAACAGCGTAAAATAGTTGTAGTGTCTCGTATGGTGAGCGCGGAGGCGCTTTTTACTGGAAACGAGGCATTTCATTTTAGTACTTACGGGTTACAATGCATCTGAATTTTCTGCATCTTCATCTTCTTACCATCTGGTGGAATATTGTGTATTGTGTGGCGATGTACGATGGTAGAATTTAACTATTGGAGTTAATACGAACAATTCCTGAGCACTCTCCGTATTAACATCGATAGCAAATGCAAAGGGATGAACAGGTACTTACTAAAATTCTTGGTGGTTGGAATATAAGAGAGCGTTGTGCTAACCTAATAATAATACACATCAGTTAGACCAAATTAGAGACCTAGGAGTTGTTTTCGATAAAATATTTACTTTTGTGCCAACATTGAAAACATTACTAAACGTGCATCTAGGATGATGGGTTTTGTAATAAGAAATATCAAAGTCTTTCGAAGCTCGAAAACTAAAATTCTATTGTCTAACAGTTTGGTAAGAAGTATATTAGAATAATGTGCTATAGTCTGGAGACCTCATCATGCTACACATTCACTGAGAATCGAGCGCATCCAAAAAAGATTCATAAGACATATGTCTTACGCACGTGGGTTTAGAAGTTATAAGAAGCGTGTATCATATGAAAATAACTTGGTCTATTTCAAAATGATTTCTCTAGAAAACCGCAGGGATATTATTGATTTAATATTTGCTTCGAAAATTATTAATGGTGTTATTGACTGTCCCGAAATTTTAAGTAAATTTAATTTGTGCGTTCCCTATCACTATCCGCGTTTTGCTCGTAAGATTACACCGTTGACCAGACCTCATCGGAGAACAGTGTTTGGCTCCAATTCTTCAATTGCTAGAATGAATAAAATTGGTAACAAATTTAGCGAACCATTTTTATAAAACATTTTCTTTTCTTTCCGCTCACAGAATACCAGCGTAAAATAGCAGCTTAACACTGCTGTGTTTCGTATGGTGAGTGTAGAGAACTGGAGACCCTTTTTACTGGAAAAGGGGCATTCCATCTTAGTCCTCACGGGTGACAACGCATCTGCATTTTGATTCGCAAACGGGGATAAATGTAGATGTCTATGGACCACAGTAACCACTTACCATCAGGTAAAAAAAACAAATTTTGGTGGATCAATACACTAAAGAAAAACCTTGATTTACTCCTAAGCAAAAAGTAACCCTACTTACTACCTTAAAGATGATACTAAATGATAAAAAATTTACAAGCTTGTTCTGCAACAACAAAAGTTAAATTTAAAAGCGAAAAAAAATTTTATCGTTGATAATTTATGGAGGAGTGCTACAGGGTACAAATTATCCCCGGTAGTATTTAATTTATTTTAGGGACATTATTTTTGAGGGATTGTTGATCTATTCTGTTCAATTTAGATTACGGCGACAATTTTAGCATTGCAATTAAAAGTAAGATGCTTCGATAACGTTTTTCGTGCTGTTGTTTTCTTGTGTTAGTAATCAGAACATAGCTATTGTAAAAAATAAGCCAATGGGATATTAATTCGTTAGTCAACGTCGCGAATAGAGGTTGCAATAACAAACTATTCATTATTTGTGTTCGCCTAAAACTGACGGTTTGTTTATTATTTCTGCAGTCTGATTGACGCAAATATCAAAATGAGATCATTTTATATTAGAAAAGTTAGAAGATTGGCGTTAGTCTGGGAGCAAGGCATTGTCTGCGGCTTCGTCATTAAAGGGTTCGTCATTGGTTTGATCCATTATGATTAATTAAGCCATTATAGTAAAAGTTCACTGCTGAACATAGGCCTTTCCCATAGATGGCCTCATTAGAGGGATTTTGCCATAATTGCTACGCTTGGTTGGCAACTGCAGATATTTATTACTTTAAGTTGTTTGAGTTTGTACATCTCGTTATCTCTTACATTTATGCTGCTGTGTTTCGTATGGTGAGTGTAGAGAACCGGAGAAACTTTTTACTGGAAACAAGGCATTCCATCTTAGTCTTCAGGGGTGACAACGCTTCTGAATATTGATTCTTAATCGAGGAGAAATATAGATATTTGTAGGCCACAGCATCCAATTACCATCGGTTGGACTGTGTGCATGTTTGTCACCTTTATTCTATAAAAAAAGTTATCAGGAAGACGCTGCTGCTCGTCTCCCGTTATAGTTTCCCTCTGTCATCGCTTGCGACACCTACGGGATGATATTGGGTAGACGATATTCTTACATTGCCACTACCCGGTTAATTTCATAATTAAGAGTGAGATATAAATTAGATCTTCTATCAAAATGTTTAAATTATTTATTAAGCAAAAATTGTCCAGTAAGGGTTATTATACTACTAAAGAGTACATGACAGATAATAACCCCTGAGAATGCGGTGATGGCTACCATGCTGTTTCTAAACGTTTTCATAACAATTGTATAAAATATTATACTGTAAATTGTACTTTAAAAAAAGTCCCGCTGGGTTTCTTGCTGGTTCTTCCCAGGACAGAGTTTTCTTTGCGAACCAGTGGTAAAAGTAAAAAATTACTTTCAATAAGTATTATGTACTGTAACTGTAATTCATATTGAATAATAATGACTCTATTTTATTCTAAATATATAAATGTTGGTTAAATTTACCTTGAGTACATCCATTCGATTTATTTTTAGTTAAGCAAGGTAATTTTTATCAACTATAACATAATGGATTTCCGCAAAGTAACGCCTGCATCTATTAATTATCTGTTTAATTCTATTTCTATAGCAGCCGCAAGAGATTAACGCTGAATTATAGAAAGCAAACTTATTTAATTGAAGTATATACTTCCGATAATTTAAAATTAAATATTTTGTACAACCGACTTCAATATAAATAATTAATAATAACTCAAAACGTATTGGTCAGACCATGATCTAATTTTTATGGGACAACATGAGAAGCACCAGCTTTTAAATAAAAAAAGAATCATCGAAATCGGTCGCTTTTCGGTTACCCAGTAAAAAGTTATCGAGGTAACACACATAAAAAAACATACAGTCGAATTGAGTACCGTCTCCTTTTTGAAGTCGGTAGAAAAACAATCAATGAGAATCCAGAACCTGGTTAAAATTATAATAAAGACGGTAGTGATGATGATTAAATAATGTTGATATATAACCATTGTTTCATATTACATGATGTACTTTCAAAACAAACTGTGCATTATCTAAAATGAATCAATATTTACATTACGTAGTTCATAGTTCGACGCTGATATAAAAATTGCTTCAGTTCTGTCCTGTAAATATTGGATCTACAAGTCTTTTTGCTTTATATTAAAAAAATGGAAATATTACATGATAACGATTTATTATATTTACGCGAATACTACATATGAAATGAAACTAATTTTACAGATTTTATCGCGTTTAATTTTCTACAGACTTCTAAAAGGAGCCGGTACTCAATTCTACTGTATGTTTTTTTTTGTGTTACTTGATAACTTTTTACTGGGTGAACCGATTTCGATGATTCTTTTTTATTTGAAAGCTGGTGCTTCACATGTGGTCCTATATAAAGTTGATCAAGGTCTGACCAATAGTTTTTGAGTTATTCTTTATAATATGTATTGAAGTCGGTTGTACAAAATTTTTATTTTTAAATTATATCTTTTTAATTCCCGACGTTTGGGTGCTTTACAATACCCACGATCACGGGAGGGACTGAGATGTTTGACCTTAAATTTATAATATTCAGAAGCCGATCTAAGGCAAAATGTAAAATAATAACATTATAAACCTACCTCGTCGTTGTAGTCACCATCACCGTATTCTCCGTCAACTAACCGCTCACTTTTTTCCTCGTCTTTCATCAGTTGCAGTTCCTTAATGACATCGCGCAACTGCTCTTCACTCATATCACCCCATAATTGCATAGTCGACACTAACTCCTCGTCATCGTCCGCTATAGGATCGGGTTTGAGCGCGTTAAGTTTATCTAGCTTCGCGTTCAGTTTGTCTTCGATCGGTTTCGACACGGGCGGTGCTAACGTGAATCGTTCGAGTTTCTCGTACAGCCTGTCGAGGCGTTCGGCAAACGATGGTGGCTCTGTCACGTACGCTGTGCAGCTGTGCACAGTGAGGAATACAAGGAGCGGGAGGCGCAACATCATGCGACCGCGTCTGACCGGCAACTGAGTCAGTCTCACATGGCAAACACGTTGCCAGGCCGGTCGGGTGAACGCGCCTGTAGTGGTACGCTACTAGATTTCGCATGTAAATATTTAATTTTCTTGTCTCTGACGACTATATTGTGCATAAATTTGGGTCCATTTTCATGCTAGAAAAAAAGATTTTCACGATGAATGAATCACATACGAAAACCGTATAGATTAAGTGATTTAATTTTTTTTTGTTTTTATAAAGCTACTAACACAATGTCCACCATATGGGGCACCTAATGGTAAATGGATTCTGTGGTCCATAGAAATCAACATTTATCATCGATTAAAATATATGTATTCGTGGTAGAGCCATGCTGCAGTTTCTGCATTTTGATTCTTTATTGCGGATTGATGTAGATGCCTATGGGCCACAGCATCCACTTATCATTAGGTGATCTGTGTGCGCGTCACCCTTATTCTATATAACAAAAAATAAAAAAAACATCAAAATGCAGATGCGTCACATATAATAACTAAGATGGAATGCCTCGTTACTATTAAAAAGGGTCACCGGTTATCTACACCACCATCACGTGGATACTTCACGCTGCTAGCGTGCAAGCGTGGTACTAATCCGATCGTGTCGACCCAGCTGACACAGCTGCGGCTTGGTTCTATCACACACAAACTCAACGTATGGAAGCTTAGGCAATGACCGCCAACATATGGCGAAAATACCTCAAGAATGATGTGTGCTAGAGTAGGGTGCTATTAGAAAATACTTTTTGGATAAACCAACTATTATCGTCATATATTTATAGCTATTAACTGTAATCCAGACAGTTATTAATATCAACATACTTTGAAATAATTGGAGGCGACTGTACTTACGTTATTAAAATTATCATTTGACCTTCTACGAGATTAATTACCACCAGGGCCGGATTTAGAGGGAGACGATAGGAGAGAAAGCTACGGGTTCTCTAGTGTAGTTTTCGGTGAAATTGGCTACAAAATAGTGAACGATATAAATGTAAAAATAACTTCTTTTTTGTCTTATTTCGTATTTTATGCAGGGATTTCTTTACTGTCCCAGAACTTTAACATTCAAATTCAGTCCTGATTGGTTGTATGTTATAGTGAATTCGTACCTGTAATGTGTTTACTTTATTGACGTGAAGGTGTGAAAAATGTTGTCCATTACTCAAGCCTGATTGAGGGCATGAATTAATCATTTCTATATTTATCTAGTTACTATTTACTTTATTTATTATAAGCTAGCGACCCGCCCCGACGTCACCTGGTTAAGATATAGATCCTATATCGAGATTTAAATAGTTTAAAATTAAAAATTTTGTACTGTCGACTTCAATATCAGTTATTAAGAATAACTCAAAAACTATTGGTCTGACCTTGATCAAATTCATATGGGATCACACGAGAAGTACCAGCTTTTAAATAAAAAAAGAATCATCGAAATCTGTTCACCCAGTACAAAGTTATGAGGTAACACACATAAAAAAAAACATACAGTCGAATTGAGTACCGTCTCCTTTTTGGAAGTTGGCAGAAAAACAAAAACCCAAAAACCATTTATTTTTATCAATCTTTCGTTTGTTTTTAAATTTTTTTTGGGTAAAATATAGACTAAATCATTTCTAGTATCGCTATCTATCTGCTCGCGAAGTTTCATTACAATCGGTTCAGCCATTCCAAAGATTATCCCGGACAGACAGACAGGTGAAAATGTTAAAAATTGTTATTCATGACTTTTAGATCGACATGCAAATATCTCCCTCAGCTCAATATAAAGTAGCTATTTCAATATTTCAGACAGACACTTCAATTTTATTTATTTTATTTTTATGTGTAGATGTCAATATTTATACGTGGTAGAGCTACGTTGTAGCTATATTAAGGTTGTAGCACGAATAGATCGGCCCAACCGATCTGAGATCACGCTCTCACATAATACCAGCGTAAAATAGCAGCTTAATGCTGCTGTGTTCGTATGGTGAGTGTAGAGAACCGAAGACCCTTTTTACTGGAAACTAGGCATTCCATCTTAGTCCTCAGAGATAACAAAGCATTATGCATTTTCTACCGACTTCAAAAAGGAGACGGTATTCAATTCGACTGCATGTCTTTTTTATGTGTGTTAACTCGTAACTTTTTTTCATTTGAAAGCTGATTTCGATGATTCTTTTTTATTTGAAAGCTGGTGCTTCTCATGTAGTCCCACATAAAGGTCAAGGTCTGAGCAATAGTTTTTGAGTTATTCTTAATAATTTATATTGAAGTCGGTTTAGACAAAATTTTTAATTTTAAATTATGTGCAACTGCGTCCAAGCATAAGAAGCCGGTACAGCTCAGGGGCTAATCGCTTGCAGTAAATTACACAGCTTCGATCCCCACTGTTACGAATGAAATAAGTTATTACTATAACTTTAAATTAATAATATAATGTACGTGAGGGTAATATGGTCACCTTAAGCTATTGCGCCCTATAAAACCAAAACAAGGAGAAGGACCATGACAAAAACACAAAGCCGTAGTCGTATACTATAACTAATATATTAAGAAATAAATAGCAAACAAGCTCTGCTAATACTTAGGAACACTTCGAAAAATCAACTTATAAAAAACCTAAAACTACACTACGAGTACACAATACTAAAATCGAGTAAAATTTTTACTATATTCTCAACTGTCAAAATGGCTTTTTAATTCCCGACGTTTACGCGATAAAATCCGTAAAAATTAGTTTCATTTAATGTGTAGTTTTCACGTAAATATAAGAAATCATTATGTCAAAATGGCGTCGATAAAGCAGCGTCCTTTTGACCCTTTACTATTTAATTGACTGATACAGAGCTATCGTATCACAGAGTCACATATGCAACAAGGCTGTAGTTTTTGAGTTATAAGAAAGTGACGATATTAATCTGATGACCATATTACCCTCACGTACTACTTGTATATTATAAAATAAATAGGAAAAAAGGCTCGTACCGGTAGGCGAAGTGTGGGCGACCCCACTAGATGAAGTGACGACCTGTAAGACATGTAGGAAGTCGATGAATGAAGGTGGCTCAGAGCCGTGCTTTGTGGTATTCCTTGGGGGAGGCCTATGTTCAGCAGTGGACTTGTGAACGGCTATATTGATGATGATGATGATAACATTAAATGCTGATTTTCCACGTCCACTACGGTCAAGTAACACATTGTGAGGAAATCAGTGTCTTAGAAATAAAAATGTTTTGAAGACCTTAAAGTCTTCCAACAATCACTGTGGAGCAAGATGGCTGACTTATTAGTCTACAACCCTATCAGAAATGAGAGGGGGTCTGTCCCCAGCGGTGGGATAACGGTCCAATTGCTGGTCACATGTGTCTTTACTTTTTTTTATATAAAACTTGAAGCCTCAGTAGCGTAGTGGCTAACCGATTAGCTCAAATCGCACACGAAATAAGTGTTTGTATGGCCTACATATAATTATCCCGAGCCTGATTGTTTGTCCTTGTATAATGATGCAATTTATTTATGTTAACTATCTCCTCGATACATGAGAAATCTTTCTTAAAAAAGCCCCAGAATTTTTTTGTTTAACAAATTTTTGTCTCCTTTATGCAATTGACGAAGAAAGAGCACACAATATACTTGACGGTAAGTAACCTACATTAAGGATCAGACTCGTTGTCACCCTATGAACTAATATAAACGTCTCGTCACCAGTAAAAATGGTCACCAGTTCTCTACACTCATAATACGAAACACAACAGCATTATGCAGTTATGCTGCTATTTCACGCTGGAATTCAATGCGAGCGTAATCCTTCCCGTTCGAGCCAATACATTCGTGCTATATTTTTTTCCATATTTCATTACACCCGTGGGTGTCGTATGAGGCGCCTAATGGAAATGGAAATGAAATAAAAAATGTAATGGCTTTCGATAGATTTTGTTATAGAATAAGGGTGACAAACGAGCACACAGTCCACCCGATGGTAAGTCTGCTTTTTCGTGGCATATACATATATGTACATCTATCTTCGTTTGCGAATTAAAATGCAGATGCGTTGGCAGCCGTGAGGAACAATATAGAATGCCTCCTTTCCAGTAAAAAGGTTCTCCGTTTCTCTACATTTACCATACGAAACAGCATCATTAAGTTGCTATTTTACGTTGGTATTCTGTGAGAGTGTGATCCATCTCCGGTCGAGCCGACCCATTCGTGCTACAACTATACTATTAATATAACTGCAGCATGGCTCTACCACGTAAAGGAGATGGTATAACCTCGCTTATGCCAGACCATAATACCTAAATCGGCAAAAGACAACAGTGGTAAAGTTGCAAGATGTCTGGTACAGGGTACAAAACGGGGGAGGCCTATATACAGTAGTTCAATTATACGGTTATATTTATTACAATCGTCAACAAAATAAATATTGCAATGAACCTAATTGAAATAAACTTTGTCCGCCCACAAACGTCTTGTTTACAATGCTTTTAAGTTCCGACGGCGGCTCAGCCCTACAAGACAGGGGTACCCAACAAGTCGATCGCTTGGTTCGCTTTCGTTTTTATTTGTATCGTAGAGCCAGTTGACATACATAAATTAACAAGGACAAATATCCAGAATACAAACAAATATTTGCAGTCAATAAAAATATTTGTTCCGCGGCCCTCAGTGCTGCAAATTGTTGGTAAGCAACTGCACCGCAGATAATAAATTTTACCGCGAATAATTATATAAAAGAATTAGCGAAAAGTAAACAACGGTGTCATCGCAATAGCAGCGGGTGGGAAGTCCTTCGCGTACATATAATAAATTGGGCACAATATGCAATCATTATGGTATTTCACGCACGACCTGAAATACATTATCGTACACCATATGACCATATCGCCCTGTAGTGGTATTCTAAGAATATCCACTACTTCATATCATCCCTTCGGTGTCGTAAGAAGCGACAGAGGGAAAAAATCAGGATATGGGCAGCA